GCCATTCAAAATATGCACAACTACAACTGTGATTTGACTCCCTAGTAAAGTCTCTTTATTAAATTGCACACATTAGATCACCTATTGTACTTTCTTTCATGTCAGGAAAAAAAAGTGTCAGAAAAAGCAGAAGATTTTGGGGTTCATAGTAGGTAAAAATTACACCAATTCACTACAACCATAACAAGAACGTTAAATACAAATACAAAAGGGTCACAATGTAAAACCAATCTTCCAAATGCAACTCTTTTATAGGTTAGCTCCATATTGATCAGGACCTCAAGACATAGTTTGGAGCAGCTATAAAAAGCTTTACATAGGCCACCTGGCTCCTGAGTTCAGTGGCCATGAGTTCATGCCAGAGTAGCCAAAATGCAAAGATTATTCACTGTCCTTCACCCCACCTGTCCTTACGTACTGGCTTTGTCAGTGGTGGCCAAGCAGTGGGCCTCCCCATCATATGTGTCATGAGCAGGTAAGGCACAGGTCAGTTTGTCCCAGCTCCCACTGCAAGCTACCTCCTGCACCCTGACTGCATTAGCGCACGGGAAATCCCAAGCCACAGGAGTGTGAAGGAAGCACATTCAGTTTTGTCCCAGCTTTGTGATCACAGGTAGCAGGGAGAATTCTTCATGACTGCTTTTTACTAATTCTTTCACGGGCTTTTGGCAAGGTTTTGACAGTGGGTGTCTGCCTTCTAGGCAGATGCATGACTCTTCATCTTCCAAGTACAATTGCTTCTAAGTTTTCTCCTACTTATCACTACATATTGAGCTACCCCAACCACTGGACATTTGCTTTTCTAGTTTTGGTAATACTGTTTCACCCACCCAATTGACTGGTTTCTCTCGGAGAGCCAGAAACATCAAAAAGCCTTAAGGGTCTGTCTCCTCCACAGCACTGATACTTGCCTGTTGCAATAAGGAGAGTTCTCCTGCCCATAAACTTGTGTCCATCAGTTAACTTCAGCTTAATGGGCAGTAGACACTATAAAACACGAGGCTCTAGAGTTTGGCTTTCTCTCTACTCCTCTCCACACCTCATCAGCACAGAGTCTGAAGCCCGCTTCAAAGGGGAAAACCATCTATAGCCAGCCTTCCTGCAGCAAGAATCACCTGATGTTCAGTTATAGGAGCATTATGTTTGGCACGTGCCCAGTTTCTGAAGGAGAAGAATCACAGTTTGACATTTAAAATGAGTAAAGAAACTGAAAGGAAAGAGCCAGCATACACAAGCCAGAAAAATAAACTTTTAGGGTACAATATTTGAAAGGGCTGACAAATCTAAATCCAGTGATATTTAACATCCCTTTGAAAATTATCTTTATCCTGTCCCTGATGTTCACCCTTGCACCTGAACTCAGTAAACCTATATTCTGTTCTCATTTAGTGACTGCAGAAAAATTATCCACAATAAACTTCATTCTTTTTCCAGGATTAAGAATTGTATATCGCACCTGCAGTGAAAATCTGGTTTATACATTAGGGAGAACACAGGACTGAACTTTTTTTCAAGTTAAGTGAAGACATTTTTGCATTTTGATCATAAATATTCTCCTGGTCATTTTTGGCAAACCTGTCAAAAGACATTTTATGCCAATTTCAAATACGCTGTTATTGGAGGAAAAAGTTAGACTTTGTATTTTAACAAAATGTGCCTGAAACATTGAAAAGCTGATTTAATGTTAACAGTTCTGCAACTCAAGCAGTATTGGGGCCAAAAACTGGCTCCAAAAGATAATGGCAGGCAGAAAAAAAGACTGTATTTCTAAAGAACGTAAAGAAATAAGTCTAGGAACCACTTCAGCAGTTAAAGGGAGGATGGAAGAGAGAGATTCTTCTCAGATGCATTCTCTTCTATTCACGGGGGCTCTATCATTTTATTAAAATTAAATCTCAGGGAAACATCCAACAACAGTAAATGCAATTAACCCAGTGGAAGAAAGAATGCCTCTATATTTGATTTACTCTGAAGCATGGAGGTGTTCAGGTTTATATGTCCTCACACTGCAAGCAATCTGATTTGGTGCCAAGGCACAATGTGTTCAGTAAAACACCCTGTGAAAATTTCAGCTCTGAATTAAAAACCACTCATATAAATGACAGGTTAATGGAAGATACTTCAGAAGTGCTTTGTCCTACAGTGCCTTCATCAGTAAGTTCCAATGAGAGGGTGCGGGTGCAAAAGTGTTCATCAGGCTGGATTCTGAAAGGACTATGTTGCTGATACGCTTTGGCAAAAACTGTATTTTTGGTTACTTTCCAGTTTTTTGTTAAGTTTCAGGTTGGTAGTTCATGATAATGGCAGTCTGTCATTAGGAAAGAGAAGGGGAATCACCACACCTTCCTTTAAATCTCAATTTATCTGTGCCTTGGGATGGAGCAAGATTTTGAGTGGCATCAGTCTTTGGGAGCAACAGAAACCTTTTAGGGACTTCAGATTTTGAGAGTATCTTGCTTTATTAAAAGTCAAGTTCTACAAACCCAACATAAAAAAAAGGCAGCTTCCTACATTTAAAATCCCTTCAGGCATGTGGGTATGTATCAAGAGATTTGGTTCAGATGAGAGGATAAATGTTTGCAGGGATAGGTTCTTTCCTAAAGCTTGAACAGCAGTCATGGACCAGCATTCTCTCCTAATGTCCTAAAATTCAATGTGCAAATTCCTGCTAGTGGCAACAGAAGCCCACGTACAGAAAGCGCAGCCAGCTCCTATCTGCCTCTCTCAGTTCAGATTCTTGCACTGGTGGACATTCCCAAGGGATCTGACTGAAAACTCCCCAAGAAATGGCGATTTAGTTTTGCTACGCATCTGGAGCATCAATAGTGTTATTTTTAGGATATAAAATTATAAACAGAATTCATTATTGGCAGTAAAAAATAGTTTTTTTTTCCTTCTTTCAGGAACACACACTGGAGGAAAGTGCCAGGGGACAACAGTGTGGCATTTAATTTTTGTAACATCAAAAATGTAATGGTTATAATAAATAGTTCACAACCTGAGTTTCAAGATGGAGTATATAAAATTAGAAAAAGATGATAAAGTAGTTTCAAATACAGTCTTGATCCCCAAGGCAACTTTTGCAATTTATAGTTTTCTTAATTCCCTCTGTCTGTTGTACTATTAAAAGGTCAAACAATGAAAAAAAACCACACCTGCACATACATCACATGAACTAAGTGAACAACATGCTTTTTCTTATGCTCTAACCCTTTTCAGAGATAGTAAAATTAAATGCTAATTATAACACCAAGAGTTTAAAATAAAAGTAATAGAAAAATTGCTATTTGTCCTGGATTCAGCAGTAGCAGTCATTTTTATCCTTCTTGGTAGCTGGTGCAGTGCTGTGTTTTGACTTTCAGCCTGGGAGCAGAGCTGATAACAATGATGTTTTGGTTTGGCCAAGGACTTTGTGAGCCTCATGCTCTGCCAGGGAGGAGGGGAAGCCAGGAGGAAGCAGAGACAGGACACCTGACCCAAACTGACCAAAGAGGTATTCCATACCACAGCACGTCATGCCCTGGGTGTAACTGAGAGTTACCCAGAAGGGCTGTGGAACTGTGGGGTTGGAGGAGGTATCAGTCAGGCTGGGGGGGGTGAGTTATCGGTCATCTGGTGATGAGCTGTTGTTTTCTCTTCCCTTGTTATTTCCTTTATCATTACTATTATTGGTGGTAGCAGTAGTGATTTGTGTTATACCTTAGTTACTAAACTGTTCTTATCTCAACCCGTGGGAGTTGCATTCTTTCTGATTCTCCTCTCCGTCCCTCCAGGAGTAGGGGGAGGGCAAGAAGGGGGGGAAGTGGGTGAACAAGCTGTCTGTCTGGGGTTAAACCATGACAAAAACCAGTATATTTCTGTTTAAAAGCTGCAAATTGTGTACAGAGTGGAACTAAAAGAGAAAAACCATAATGAAGGCCAAGAGATTGCTTTTAAAATTTCATATTGATAACATAAGTAAATATAGTAGAAGTCTCTCTTAAATATACACAAATTTCTCATAAGTTTATGGAAATGTCTAAATAATTATTACTCTCTTCTGAATATATATCTAATGGCTGCAAGAAAGAAAGGTCTTCAGAACCATTGATAAACAAATCAAAAAAATAACTTTACACAGAGCCTAAAATTATATTTGTTTACTTCAACAAGTGAAAGCTGGATTTGGCTAAAATTTTGACCTGGAAAGCCTTCTATTTACCTGCAAAACATCAGCAAAACACAGAATTACCCTCTGAAATTGAGGGAGTTTATTTTTTTTTCTTTCACATTTTTGTTCAAGTTTGTATTGTTTTTGCTTTACCTTTCCCTCTATTTTTCATGTCTGGAATAGAAAAGCTCAGTCGTTCTACTGTGGAGGAAAAAAGCTGAAAATGAGTTTACTTATCTTCATTTCATATTGAGTGCAAAGTAGAGAACCTACAAAGACCCATAGTCATTTCAATAGGTGATGTAACAAAGAAATAAGCCCAAAAGATTTTTACCTGTCCCTGAACTATTTTGTGGTCATTTATAACAGTTTTTGCAAGGAGGTTTTCTTATTCATTAATTAGTATCATTTAAGTGGCCAGCTTTAAGTTACCAATCAACATTCCTATTTATTTTGTTGGAAACAAACAAATAACAATATAAATCTTTCGCTGAGGCCTGGCAGTGGTTTTGGGTTAGCCAAGGGATGTATAGTTTTAAAGGTGCCTAATTCCCAGTACATGTAAAGAGGAGTTGTTTAAAACCCAAAATAAATGTTTCATTGTGATCAGTCATGATACCTTAAGCTTTATCTCAGAAAACTCTATATTCAGCAAGCCTATATGGCAGCTTTTCTGGAGATCATGAATCAAAAGGTTCAGAATAATTGTCAGCATTTTTTGTAGTGAGGCCACTCCTCAGGTCTGTGCCTCACTGAGACAGTCCCTGGGTTTAGACTACAGTTGAGGCAGGAACAAATAAAGGCAGTAATGACACTTGCTGCTACTCTCTTTAGGGCCAAGAATCCACCAAAAATTCAGAATCTGAAAATTACTTTTTGATTTACAGATACACACTCCAATAAACTGACTTAAACTAACAGTCTTATCACCTCCAAAATGCAGATTATACCACTGAAACTGTAAAAATACGAAGTTTTCCATGATACCAGTTATGCTCCAAACTTCCACATAGGCATTTATTATGACAGTTCTGCACTTGACTTAATTTCAGACACTCTACTCACAATACAAAATTCTTTGGCTTTTGACAGCTTTACAAAGGAAATGCGCTATTCACACTGTGAATAGGTGTACGTATTAATTTGCCTTTCAAAGCGCGTGCAGTCCACTTTGCTGCTGATAATCTGCATAAAACTGGATTAATGAATCAGGAATTCTCGGGGTCACAATAGTCAGTGCGTACCGGAAGTGCTGTTCTGTGATAGATTTGGCATGTATGTCTTCCTGAAGAGCTAGAAGGGCTGCTTCTCTGCAGACTGCTGTTATCTGCAAAGAAACAATAAAGAAAACCCCCACAGAAAATTACTATTATAAAATACATTACTTTAAAGGAAGAAAGCAAACACAAGACACCAACATACTCTAAATGCCAGACGCTCACATGGTCAGATTTTCTCCAACTACTTTTAATAAATGAGGTTGTGGGTGATTAGGACATCCAAGAAACAGGATACAGCTCAAAATTGAAACCACAGTAACATTACATTTCATATTACAGGATGTTGCAAATTAACTTAATAATCATATTACCTTGTGTTAAACTCCATGTGACACCTGATAAATTAAAGCCCCAACAACCAGCGACATATTTTTCTGTCCCTAAAGCACAGGAGCAGATATTTCCAGGTTCTGTGGGCACTTTTCTTTCTCAGCTTTACGCTGGGAAATTAATTCCAAAAGGCAGGCTAGAAGGAGAGCGCAGTGGAACAGGAGGAGGTTTAAGGTCTCATAACCTGCAATGTGTTTTTAAGCTTTCTGGACTTCAGACAGCGGAAACAGACTGATGCCAGTGTCATTCTAAAGACACATTACTGTGGTGAAAAGAGCTTGGGGAATGAAAAGAGATATTGTGATTTCCAGTGTAACAGGGAAAACAGTGATTGATATTGACTGCTCCCTTATATCTGTAAATGAAAGAGCCAGCTGAAACACATTTGTTCAGCTATTCCGCATATTTTCTCTGTTTGTTCACTTACTGAAAGGAGTTCCCCTGCTTATGCTGTGCTAATGGTTGCCAAAGCTGTTTAGTAGCTTTTCAGAGGATTTAGCAGCATGTTTAGGAAGCTTTCAAGAGAAAACATGCATGGATTTAGATGGCTTTGTCAAGTTACAACAATATTACTGTTAGTTCTGTGCTGCTCTAATGAGAAGTGAAGGTAAACACTGCCCTTATGCATTTTAATGCTTTTCAGGACTTTAGAGACAGTTAAATGTGGAAGTTAAATGTGGAAGCATAGCTGAGATTTAGTGCACCAACTTCTTGCAGAGGTTAAGTAATACATCATCTGGAAAGTTAACGGAGGGATACTGGTTTTCCTGTTCAGGTTTTTCTCCAAGTAGACAGTGTGACTATTTGCCTACCTCAACACAAAAATAAATCTACTTAAAGAAAAAGAAAAAAACTCAAACGAGATCAAACCTCCCTTCCCCCATCCATGTCTAACACCAAACCTAGAAACCTTTCAAGAAGGAGAAGACTTGTTGGAAAAGTATCCTGAACTCTAAACTTGTGTTGGTCTTTGAAGGAGGGGTCCATTTCCCCTTGATAAATAGTGCAATAAGGGCAAGTTTTACATAAACAAAGAGGAAGAGACCTGCTGGGGGTTTCCACAGGCATCATTATAAAACCCAGTATGTATTACAGCAGGTTTTGACTGCCGTATTCTGCTCACAGAGTCCATCATCGATCTACAACATCAGAATTCTGAAGCAGGGTATCACTACAGCACAAGACATTCACTTTTTTGGAGCTGATAGATTTTACTGAAGGAGAAGCTGAAGGAAAGACTCAAGTTGCCAGATCCAAGAAAGAAGGAACAGCACTGCCAGTCTCATTTATTCCTGTTCCTTTTGAACACTGATACTTTTAGGAGGAATATCAGCCCATATGCTGATACCTCTTGATGATGCTTTTTCTCTATGCTTTGCCAAAAGTATCAGTAATGATGATGATAATTAACCTCCAAAGGGTTTTTTGGTTTTAATTTTAATCTTAAAGACTGAACTGTAAGTTCTGCTATTACTGAAAAGTAACAGACATGAGGAAGCACAAGAAAACTGATAATTATTTTTTATTTCATTTCCCAGGAACATTTCAGCTGCTTTTAAGGAAAGAAGAAAGAATTTTAAGGCATGAACTATCATTCTCCCTTTTCCTGGCTGCACTCAGAATTTTTGTGGACTAAATATTTTATATATTATTGAGTAATAAACGGCAGGCATTCTGGCACAGTGTTTAAAATCTGGGCTCTTGTGTCTGGTCACAGAAGTCATATGGCATTGTTTCCATTCCTTGGCTAACCCAGAGTATCAGGTTTCTGAGCTAAGAGATTCAACAAGGCAGGTGTGATTATTTTTCCTCATTCAAGTATGCAAACTGAAAAAAAAAAAAAAGGTCCTCACCAGCATTCTTACTAGCTAATAAAGCTAAATCATTTGTGGAAAGCAAACACAAGGAGTAATACAGCCACAGTGAAATGAGAGCAAATTCATCTGGTGAAATCTACTGTGTTATTGGCCTAAGGTCTACTAGTTTTTCATAGATTTGTCACAGTCACATTAGGGCATTTCTTACCACACCAAGCAACGGAAGAGTTTTTAAATGTCATTTCTGCCTAAATTTAAAACAAACATAGATTAAGTCAGGTGAGGTAAAGAGGGAACACAGCAAAAAGGGCCAAACTGACAGCAGAGGAAGGAAGAAAACCCACGGCTTTGCAGCAAGGTACATATCCTTCCCAGGCTTAGTGACACTCCGAAACCAGAGGCTGCATCTAGATCATCAGTTTTAAAAACTTGCAGCAGACCTATCCTCAGTGAATTTGTCCAATTACTTTCTTAAATCACTTCTTTTGGCCTACACGACATTATCCTGTAATGAGTGGCATGGTCTAATCATGCATTCTATAAAAAAGAATTTTGCTTGTCTTAAACCTGGTAATTTCAGCAACTGCCTCCTAGTTCTGGTGTTATGAGAACAGTGATTCATCTGTTGTTCCCCATTCACCTTCTCTGTACTGTCAATGATTTTACAGTTTTATCTCATCCCCTCTCAGTCAAGTCTTTGCAGAGTCCTCAGTGATTCAGTTCCAGCTCCTGCAGAACTTGGCCATCCTTCAGCCTGTCTGCCATGTTGCCTTCACTAGTTCTTCTCTATTCTTGTGCTGTTGAGTGGCTGAAGCCATGCGGCACAGAGGGAGTCATACCATGGCAAAGCAGTGTTCCTAGGTTCCCTTTCTATTACTGTATCTGCCATCATATTAGCGCCAAGATGATTTTTCTCAGATTATCCACACTGCATCCAGTATCTTTTTCTGAGTGACAATATCTAATTTAGGTTGCATGCTTGTGAATTTGAAACCTGGGTGATTTTTCTCCATTGCATTTATCAGGATGAATAGCCTCTGCCTGCCTCTATAAATGAATGCTGTGAACCAACATCACGTATCTGCCAATTTTAAGACAATGCTTAATGATTTTCAAATACAAATCCAAGGGATCACCATTTTTACATTTTCAATATTAAAAAAGACAAAAAAGTGAAGTTTTTTGCATCGCTGTGTGTTGTGAGGAACATGAATAATGTCCTAGGCCTGTTCTAAAGGCAAAATTGCAGCTTGATGTATTGAAGGACAAAATAGATATTCTTGACTGCATCTGAATACAGAGTGGCTTTCAACATTGACTGTTAAAGCAGTAATGAACACATTAAGTGATTGACAGAAACAAGAGTGATTAAACAGCAACAGGCCAGGCACCAGGCAATTAAGCAATAACTACTGAGCTGTGGGGTGTTATTGCAGAGATGAACAGCCAGCCAGGTGTGGTTGAATACTACTGAATCCAGGAGCACCAGAATACACCCTAGTTTGATTGTTAGTTTAAATTCTGAATCAAAGTTTAACAAACAAAGTTGTCATTTTCAATGGAATGAGAGCAAATTAATGACCTTACATTAGTCTGCTGTCTGCAGACCTCTTCTAGCGTGGAAATATTTTGACTTCATGTGTTAAACCCATATTTTTATAAAGGACTGGTTTATCATCTCAATGAGTGCTTTAAGATCAGAAAATAAGCAACTAATTTAGAATCCCACTTCAGAGTCAAAAAGGCAACTGTATCGAGTTATCATGGGAGGAAAGGAGAGTGAAAATTTGCTATCTTAACCACAGATATACACACTGATCAGTAATAAGCAAAGTCACACACAAGCTCACAGCTAAGGTGCAAATAACTAAATCCCAAAAGAAATGGATTTACACCTAGTCATACTTCCCCCCAACGCTTACTCCCAGAAACAATAAAATGCCTGGTTACTGTTCCCTGAATAAACAGTATTCAGCGTAACCCATCTTTCTCTCGAAACCACTGGTTACACTTGCTGATTCAGTTTGGCTGATTCTCCCCCCCTCTGGCATTAAGCACCAACTCTTTCTAGTGGACTGAAAGTCCTTTTCATTTTCTTTGTATTTAAAGTGTCCTAAACAGCTTTAAAGCTTTTTTATTTTCAGCCTCAAAAAAAGGAATGAGCTTCTGTGTTAAAGCCTTAGGTATTTTCAAGAAAGTGGTTTTGTAAGTGCAGAGTCTGTTGGGAACACCTGTGAATGTTGGGTTTAATTGGGCTGCAGCTGGTGTCGATTGTGTGAACCCTAACTGGCAGTCACTGGCTGGCTGTACATTGTGTTTCATTTTCCTTTTTCCTTCCTTTTTAACTTGCTCCTCCACCCCCCCAGTTCAAGTTTTAACGGATTGTATGTAAGAGGGATTAGGAGCCTGGAAACAGAATAGTACCCTGCGGTTTGTGAATAGCACAAATTGTGGCGCTTCCTGGAGGAAAACTACCTGGAGCACTGCGTGCCCCTGTGGTGTGCGCCTGCTAAGCAGTGTCAAAGGGACACTGTCTATAGGTTGGGGAGCTTACTTTCCCACTCTGTTAAGGAAAGATAAAAAGTTCATACATGGCATTTTAAAAAGACATAAACAACTCCTGGGTCAGGACATCTGTTTCTTACTCAAGCAAATGCCTAATCACTTCAGGCACCTTATCTTACCCCTGCATCAGAAGCTGCTCTATAGAGAGCAATAGCCTTATCCACATAAAACCAGGGAAGCTGGAAAGCTCTCAGGACCCTGGGCCATCACCTGATTGAGGAAAGATGTGGGTACAGATGTCTTTCCAAAGTGAGAAAACAAACCAGACGATGCACTGTAGTCAGAGTGGCCAAAGGGAGTGGCAAGCAAAGGTTGCTGATGGTATTCTAAAATCT